TTTAGCACGGAGCTTAGTGCATATGGAGGCGCGGTAACAGTTGGTTATTAGCCCGGTTTTGAATACATTAACCGCAGATCGCAAGGAGCGTGTCGCGCACACGAATATTAGCTGTCAGCACATGGCAAAGTCCCAGCGGATTATTAGATTCGCCTCTTAATTATGCGCACACTGCTGTTCCTGCGCACGTTCCCCACACCTAATTCCATTATACGCATTCGAGGAATTCTTTATATGATAATTTCCCCGTGCCCCAATTCAATAAACCGCTCCACTAATATTCCAGCAGTTTATTTTTAACCTCAGAAATTCGGTTAAATCGAAATATTAATCAAGATAAAAGTCGTGAATGGAATTTTAATGACGCTCTTTGCGCAAATGAAAAGCGAGAAATAATGTTCCTTTTGAAAAGAAACTTTTCTTCAGCCGCCGTGCATTCACAGGGAGCGGCGTGATTTAAAAAAACCGGGCTTTCTTCTCATCCCCACTGCAAAACCATCTCATCATATTTTGCGGACAAAAACTCGGCAGCACTAATTATCAAAACCATCCCCCGCCGCAGACATTTCTCCTCGGGCTGAAAAAGCTGCCGCGAGTTGTCAAGTCGCATACTTTCCCATCTGCCTCTCTGGCTTCATAACTTTTATTTTCCATTTTGAATATTTATATCACGAGAGAGCGTTTCAAAACGTGAATGCTTTTCGCTTTTTGCCCCCTCTTATTTGCAAGGTGGGTCCCGTGTCTCGATGCACAGACATAATTTTTGAAAGGCTGCCAAGCGGCGTCCTTTGCTCTCTCGGCGTGGGTTTATTTTCGAAGTCGTCGCGCGTTAAAATTTGATTCGCACCGCATTACAGCGTAATTAGATCGCGGTACTTTTCAACATCAAGGTCTGCCGGCAGCTCAAAAATCGTGAGAGTGAGACACGTGACCCTTCAAGTACATCACATTTCAGGCTCAAGTACTTTTTGCTGCAGACTTTGCAAGATTTGTATGAAATCTTTAGAACTGCAGATGAAGATCTTTTCATTTTCATACAAAGTGAGAATATTTCTGTTCCCCTACGGAAAGTAAATTTGCTATCAAATTATTCGGTAAACTAAATTTAAATTTCATCCATTTTGAAAAAAAAAAATATTTAAAGCTCTACAAATAAAATTGGAATTTAATTTTTGCAAGGAAAAAAATGCACCTTGGTAATTTCAACGATAAAATATAATTAACAATTATCAGAAATATAGATTAAGTCAATTTATTCATAATTATGGATTTTACGAAATTATTTCTCCTCTTTTTTGTTAGAAGAAAGACATATTTTTTTTTTAATCTTACCTCTAAAATCTAAAACTAATTTACTTAATAAAAATAAAATATCATTCGTATTCAACTTTTAACCCAAACGATTTTTTGCACATCCCACCACGATCATCTCCCATCTTTCCGATCATGATTTATGTGCCTGCTTGAAATATTTGAAAAATGTTGAGCGCTGCAAATCTGACATAAAAATCTTTTTCAAGCAGAGAAAAGGCAGAAAAAGCGTCGGTCAGCCGGTGGTCGTAACGCGATTCCTGGAGGCGAAGGCTTGCAAAGATTGATAGACTTGTTTCCCCTGCGCCTTTTGAAACAGATCCCATTCGGACTGACTTGCTCTCGCGAGCGAATGTACGAGGTATGTACGCGTCTGTATGTGTGCAAGTAAGAGTATTTGTGCGATTAGAGCGGTCTGTCGACCGCAAACGCGGCCGCACCACGCACTCCTTTTCTTTTCTTTCAGCCAATCAATCAATCAGCGAAGCCCCTCGGTCAACTCATTACCACCCAGCAAGTGAACCGCACAAAATCAAAGATCAGCAAGTCCCAAGCCAAATCTAATTACTGCGTGAGTTGAATTCCTGATGAGAGGAGCAACATTTGTCAAATACTTTCCTTCAGTGTTTTTTTTTTATTCAAGGAAAAAATTCTAGTTTACTTATTATTGTGAATGCTGTACTAAAATTGGTAATATCTCAATACTAATTAATATATAAATAAAATTTCGAAATTTCCAGGAGAAGAAGTAGTATCATGTGACCGCGTGTTACGATCAAATTGCAATTGCTGACCACATTGAATTGCTTGAATAATTTATCAACGTGCAAAAACAAGCAAACCAGTTGTCGGCCCCTCGTTTTCAGCGGACAAGCATAAAATCGGCTGTTTGCATAATACGCCAATATTTCAAGTCGTCGACTCCTCAGTCAAGTGAGACGTAGAATCTGTGGCACGCCTTGAGGAACGACACACAATTTTATTTGCTGCCAGACGCCTCTCCAGATCGTTATTACTTTTGACACCAACTCTTGACTTGCGATGTGGAAGAGGAGCAAAGTCAAATATTGGTTCATCTGAATTCAATTAAGTCAAAACGATTTTGAGCTTTTAGCTCCTTTGATTGGGAAATATATTTCGGTGCCAAATTTCTTTCATTTCACAAGCATCGTTGGTTGCGCCAATGAATTTATTGGTCTGAGAGAGGAAGCCGTATTTTATGATGTTGGTCCAAGTGGCAGGCGCACTCGTACGGATTAAAAGCGTATCATTTCAGGCTTAATATTTGGACTTTATGGCTGCAGAGGCTGATTTATGACAAGTACAACTCCCTCATTAGAGCAGCGCGCTTTCTTGGGCCAATGAATGAACGGTTATAATGTAATAGGCTGGCTGGAGACATCAGAAAAAAGGAGCGGGACAAGACGGCACGAAAAAATAACAGACCATTTATTTCAGCAGCTGCGACTGAATTAGAACTTTTTGACACGCCACAAGGTCGGCGCCGGAATTGATTAATAAGAAAAACCACTGCAGCCAATTAATTTATTCAACCTTAAATGAGGAGAAATTTTGTTTGCTTCTTCTATAAAAAGGATTTTCCTCTACAATTTTGAATATTTGATGAACTGAAAATAAAATTCTAAACAAATTTGGCCTTTCTAAGCCTTTTTTATAAAAATTTACGGAAGATTCTTTAGAATTATTCTCGGTAAGAATTGAAAATTTGTTAATTTTTATGTAAAAATAAATAATTATTTTAATTTTTGAAAATAATCATACTATTTTAACAAATCTTGCTGGCTTTCTAAATTATCTTATTGAATAAAAAATAATGAATATGCCGAAGCTGGCCAGTGTGTTTGCATATTTTTTTTCAGCTTTAGTGTTGGAGGAAAGAATTAGCACGTCAAGAGAGCGCCAAAACGCGCAAATGAATAATTAATTTGCGTCTGCCTGTTTTTCGTGCCAGCACGAAGCTGCCAGTGTCTGCCGCCCTGACATGCAAATTTCTCGGCGGGCCACGATATAAAAAGGCGCGTCCGCGATTTGAATTATTGTCGCGATTTGCGTGTCACGTGTGGGCGTTTGGCGAAATTCAGAAATCGCACATCCATCAGAGGCCTTTCACTTTCGGTCGACGTCTGCAAATAAATGCGGGCCGTAAAAATCGCGTGAATGGGGAAATTCGAAATTCACGCTGACCCGAATTCTTGCCCAAATTGGTATTCATGGGTGGCTGAAAATCGATTTGTTGCGAGAGGAGTCGTGTGTTGACGCGAGAGATGCTTTTGATATTCGTGCTGCGTCGCAAACGGCAAATTCTGCTGCGAGGGGACACATTTAGCAGAGCCAGGAGAAGTGAAATTGCGACACCCCGGAACGATCGAGGGTTGCTTTCGGCGGCGTGTTATCTGTCGCAGAGAGCAAACGACTCGTTTTCTCCAACACTTATCAGCAGCCCTGATCACTCTGCATGCGGGTTAAATATTATGCAAACGTTTCAGATTGAAACCAAAACCTCTTCCTTTATCACCCTTTTATTCTTGTGTTCAAAAGCTTAAAGAAGCATTGAAAATAAGAATATGGAATTTCAAACCATTACATGTTTTTATGCTTATGTTTTTTAAATTAAATTGAATAAATTAAATCATGCTGATGAGTCTAGGGATTTATCAAAGTTGTGATGTAGCGCTTAAATTTCTAGAGAAAAACAGCTTAAATATTGGGTTATCATGGAGAATTGCTCTCTTATTAAAAGGTCAAAATTTTAGTATGGTATTCAGGCATTTAAAGAATTGTTTCTCTTGCATAGATTTCCAGTTTAATTAAAAAATTAAAACCTTTTTATCCTTTAAAAAAAAAATTATAAAATTATGTAAGATTAAACTCTACCTAAAAAGCTATCAAAATGAATCCGACGTTATTTTTATTATTTTATTTTCTAATTTTCCTCCATTCCGATGTATTTAGACGATTTTCTTTAATTTAAAATAAACGTCATCCATTCCTTTCACGATCAAAACATTTCCTTTCTTAATGATGATTTTAGAGACCACAACCATCTCCATCATCTGTTTCTTTCTTTTTTCTTTTTCTTTTGTGGTTGGGTGGGTTTTATTTGTTGAAACGCCACAAAATGAGGCTCCGAACGGGCTCATTCCTCAACGAAATATTGGCCAAAACGAGAGGCACGCTCTTAAAAAACGTAATCAAAGCAGACAGACGGAGACGAAACAAATTCTCCGCCGTTGAATATAGAAAAAAAAAAATAAGAGATACGAATGGCGGTTCCTTAATGGCCTGCGCTGAGATTTCTTCGAATAAAAATAAGCATCTCACCTCAGCAGCCCGTGGGCCCAGCAGACAATAATCATTTTCCGACCGCAATGCGTGGGTGTGCGTTCCTTAGGAGAAATAAACACAAAAAGAAGGGGAATTGAGAGAGAAAATCTAAACGCAGATGAATAAATATGGCTCAGCATTCCAATCAATGTTATCTGAACAACGAAAGCAAGTGTTTTGATATATCGATCTAGATAAGCCGTTGTTAAATTAATTGCTCATTAATTATGCCAATATTGACGCCGAAGCACCGCGCCAGATAAAAATCAGTCTGCGTGCATAATGAGAGACGGACAGTGAGAGGGAAAGGAGTATTTTGCTCATTACTCATTCAGAATATTTACCGGGCGGCCGAATCTGAAACGCGAGCGTTCTCCGATATGGTGCGTCGATTCGATGATTACCTGCAACACAGAGGAAAATAATTTGATTCAATTCCCAGAGGAGAAAGAGAGAGTTTGTAAATAAGTACATAAGCTTATGTGTATAGTGAGCTGAAAGGAAAATGAGATAAAACACGTCCTGCATGTGTGTGAATGTACTTTGGCAGTTGAGCCACCCACGCTAACAGAAATCGAGGCAGTGCTAATAAATTATTCCGCCATATGTCTACAGTCGATTCCGCACGTCATAACACAATTTCGTTCTGGTAAATGCGTTTTAAACTATAACATTTTGCATGACCAGCCTCAGATTGAGCTTTTTACAAGTGCAGTGGCATTGTTAACAACAACTGATTTAATGATTTGCAACAAAAACGTTACGAAGTAAGATTTTGAAAATAAATTTGCAATTTCTGAATTTCTTATTAAATAATATTGGTTGGTTCAAACTGGAGAACGAAAAGTTTAAATTGAATAAAAAATAAAAAAGGGAAAGTAGAACAAAGAATTAAAATTATTAAAAAAAAAATTAATTAATTTAATTTGGGCATTTTATTTTATTTTATTTTGTATCAACCTGCTTAAATTTTCATATTTTAAAGTTATTTTAGTTTATAATTGGTGGAGGGGGAGAGATTTGTTTTCTCGTCAGCATGAAGACTGTTTTTAATAATTATTTATAATTGAAAAATATTTTAACATCCTTGCTGCAAAAAAAAGCATGGCATGCGTGTATAAATATTGAGGGGAAATGTAGCTTTTTGCCTGTTAACCGACGAAACGTGGTCGATAGAAAATAAAAAGCTTTACACGTTGGCGGAAGTGTGATTTCTGAGCCGCAATTTTAGCGCCGAACACTTTTTTGTGTATATAATTACTCTCCAACGGAAAAAAAGCCTTTTTGGCAATTACTCCCATCGATTAGAGTTGAGCGAAACAAGCAGTCGATACTTAAATCATTGGAGAAAAGTTTCTTCTTCCAAAATTACTCGGCGTCACGTGAGAAACTACTAATCCTCGGAGTGCATGTCTTATTATTAATCGCGGTAATTGCATTTGTAATATACTGAGGCGATGCACTCTTGAGGTCAGGTGGCGCGACCTTGTTGGGTCAGGCTAGTCCTTTCACCAGATGGCTGATTGCCAGGCACGACGACATTATGCATGCAGCAGCCGAACCCAATGGCCTTTTTTTACATTTTTAATTGTTGCCTGTCTGCACGCCTCAATTCTCTCCGGACCTTTGTTTCGTCTCCCTTGACACGTTTGCTCTAACGATGGATTTGTCGAGTATTCTCTCCAGAGATTCGTCTCAACCTTTTTGTCGACTTTAATTGATAAAGTTTCGCCGAGTTGGAGAGAAGCTCGTGTAATTAAAACGGAACGAAAAGGTCGCGAAATGAAGACAAATCCCCTTTAAAACTTTTATCCAGACAAAGGCAAATTGAATCCTCCTGCTGCTCTTCTGAGAAGTTTGTTCAACAAAACAAAGTTCCAAATGAGCGGCAAATAGTATAAAACAAAATTCCCACCGTGCGTGATGAGATGAAACTATGTTTCGTTGTGTCAGATGCAAATGAGGGTCAAAATTCCTCTTCTCTTTCCTCGCCTGTCGGACCGAAAGATATGAGGGATTCTTCTTTAATGCCAGCTTTTTTTTTTATCTTTCTCCCAAACAACAAAACCGCCTCCGCCCTCAATACCCCTAATAATTTACACGCCCAAACTTGGTTTAATCTTTTTGTAATGATTCAATTCTCTGTGCGAGAGAGTTGTTAAATTCCCTCTCCTCTCGTTTGAATCTGATAAATGTACAGCCAGCTGGAGTTTTATTCTTTTTTCGAGAGAGATGTGCACGTATGCAGAACAACTTCTGGCTTTGCTTACTTAGCAGCTCAGCATACCAAGTGTGTATATCGTGAGCGAGCTTCTTGCCCAACAACACGACAACCGGGGAAATAACTTGAGCCAAGTTTAATCTGATTGTGAGCTTTGCGATATGGAGATGCAGATCAACAAACTCCGCGGCCGACTTAATGCAAAGGGGAAATGAAGCCATACCACCATATCGATGTACCCAAAGGGACTATAAATAGGCTTTATACGACTACTAACTTTATTTCCTCAAATGTATGCCGAATCCTCAGTAGACTTGTTTAACTTTAAAAGGGTGAGATTAGATGGAAAAAGGGAAAAATGACAAATTGATAATTATTAAACGTGAAATTTTATGAATTTCTTCAACTAAATTTAAATCAATAGAAAGTAAAACTAAAATACTGTAAATCTAAACCTTTCTAAGGTCGTTTGATTTTGTATATAGTTTAGTATTGTTGTGTTTTTTTTTTTTAATAGAAGAAAATGTATAAAATAAAATTTTCTTCTAAATTTAGAAAATAAATATTTGCAAGTTGTATGAAGCCTCATGAGAAAGTTCGGTATGTAAAAAATCAATTAAAAATTAATTCACTGCCACTTCTACAGAAAACGTTAATCCCAAATCAGGTGGTAGTTCTTTACAGCAACTAACTCGGTTCATCTGAAATACCCAACTGGGTGCTTTTAGCATAAAAATTTCACCTCTGCGGTTGGCAAAAAGTGCGTTCGCGCGGCGCGAAACGGCGCCCAAGACGGAGTTTTAAAGTTTCACGCCGCGATTCCGCTCTTTGGCAGCAACGCCTCTGAATTAATAATCCTCGCCGCGGTGGTTGCTGCGGATTTTCGCGCCGGCAATTACTCTTAATTAATTCTCTATGCCCGCCAGTGTTTATTAGAGCCGCACTCCATTTTTGCGTCGCCCACCAGTAATTTATCCGCTCTCAGGATTATTAATATTATTTAAGTCGCGCCACATTTGTCAAATTCCAAACATGTGCGTGGGATTATATTATTAAATTGCGTCCAGATAAAGGTGCGTCGAGATGAGTTTTCCTCGTTTAATTTATTTGTTCGAGAGCGACGCCTACACCGATGCCAGTTCCGCATTCCCATTTGGATAATGAGCATTTTTCGCCAATAGCTTTTTTTTCGTGTGCAGCCAGATCGATAAAATCGGCCGCGGCGCGCGATTGGGTTGACGAGCAAGTCCCAGCCAGATTTCACAACTGTAGTTGGAAAATTCGCTGCTGGCTCGAAAATTTAATTAACTCTGTGCCAAACATTGGATGTGTTATAAATTTACGACGCTTTTATTGCTGTAACTCAATGGGGAACACTGCTGCACTCGGATTTTGATTGTGAATTGGTAATTAGCTGGCGTGTATTTTATGTATTTCGATGGAAGCATTACTTTGCCAAATGAATGAAACGCGCCAGTGTACTCGACACAGAAACCAGTAGTTTGATGCCCTTGCAAAATTGATTAACTCAAAGGGTTCCAGCCCATTTCATCCAAAACAAGAACGGTTCAATTTTATAAATAAACGAACACATTAAACTCAGCAGAGGGTCGTTGATGTTTTTTTTTTTTAAATTAAATAGGAAAATGAAAATATAAATGAAATAATATTTCTCTTTTAATTTCATACCATTTTAATTTTACTGTCACTATTATTTCATTGAGCCTATATATTTTATTTAAAATACATGAAAAACTTTTATTTAATTTATCCCCAAAATTTTTGCTCCTTTTTAAATTTTTTTCACTTCACAATTTTATAAATGAAATAAAAATATCAAAAATATCATATTCCAAAATGTATATCAACTTTGGAGAACCATAAATTCGGTTTTGGGAAGTTTTTACGTGGAAAGTTCGTTCCAGAAATTGCTTTGCTTTTTTCTACTCGACTGCTTTTTTTTCCTGATTGCTGAACTAAACATCAAAGGCCTTTCTCTAATACGCAGGCACACTTTGATATATTTTGTGAGCGGGACAATCAGTTCGATTCTGCCAGGAGAAAAACAATATGCCACAAGCATAAATACGTCTTGTGTAAAAAGGAATGGATCCGCCATATAAACAAAGAGAAACGTGTCCCATTTTTATTTCTTTCTACATTTGCCCGTACATTTGGAAAAGCTCTCTGAGCATGATTCATATTCTCGGAAAGCGTTTTCGGTCAGCGGCTCTCTTTCAATCGACCTTCCATGTTAAGGGGTCTTTTATTCGATGGGAATGGATTCCACCGTTTTCCTCAATATACTGCGATGTTCTCCGGTATCAATATCTGTCACGAGACGCTATCGATTACCGAAACGCACGCCCTCACAATTTCGCTCTCTCAAGCTGGACACGTGTGCGCCAATCAGTGGAAAGAGATTTTCCAGTTTAACGCCATTTCATACATTTTCAGATGATCCCGAAATAATGGCCGCGTTCATCCCTTTCTAGATCTCACCCCCACCGGTGACCGCCCCTGATGAAAAGCAAACTCTGCCGCTGAAGCATTTTGTGCGAAATACGCGTGAGACGGCTGTCTGCCTCGCTCCGTTTCCTCTTCCCTTTCGCTCTCTTTGTTCGCGGGCGACGTGTGCTTTTGACTTGGATTCGCGCAAAGCCTCTCGCGGTGCCGCATCTGCTGCGGTCTTTCGCCCACTGCGTCTCGCAAAATCTCCGCATACAAAATATGCACGTCAAAGGCTATTTTTCACGTAAACAAAGCTAAAGTAATGCTTCCTCTTCTTATTCTATGGGGGTAAAATATGGAAAATCAATACACACATTTTCAGGATTTAATTTCATGGAAAAATAGTAGCATTACGCAATAATAAATTTACAAACTTCTATTTTTAAGTTTTTTTTTTGCAGAAATGGTGAAAAAAAGGATTAATAAGTAAGCAGCTCAAATTTTTAATTAATATTTATTTAATTTTATTGATTTTGAAATTTAAAATTCTTTAAATCTTGAAACTCCAATGATGAAATCTGTCAATTCATTTGCATATCGCAACTGTACTTATTTCTTTATATTATTTGTGTCTCAATCGACACTTGAATGTAACTGTAAAAACGATCGAGTATTTATGTATTATTTATTTATTTGTTTCTCGTTATGTTCAGGAAATGAATATATCGCGGT